GTTAATGTCTGTTTATCATATATAGACATTAAAATATATAAAACTATTTTACCCAGTCACAAGTGATTTCATTCTGGCTAAATAACACCACCGACAGTGGTGAAAGTAAACTTGTATCTGAAATCGAAGATTTCCTTCCATCTTGACCAACTTGGTGAAAATACGTTAAAAATGGACTTGGCCAATTTTTTCTTTTACTATTTACACTATCAGGTGATATTGCAACCTGTGTATTTTTTCTAAATGAACGTGAATGTTAGGTCGCATAATTATTTTTTTCTTATTGTATTATGAACGTCCTAAATGTTTTTGATACTCACTCGGAAACTATTGTGTTTATAGTTTTTGTAAAGATCCCACGTTTAAATCCAAAAGGTTTAACATTTAATAATTGATTGCTGGCCGAGAATAAAATAGCTCGAAGTAGTTCTGAATGTTTAGCATTTGTATTTAAATGTTCACAGTCATCCGCAGAAAGTAGAATTTTAGAATTTATAAGGTCATTTATATGTAAATTGTATATATCTATAAAGAAATAACACAATAATCAATCGTCGTGTGATTTATACTACTACCGTAAATGTGTAAAGATCATACTCCATAATTTCCGAGAATTGTCATTCTTATTCGCGTTGTTATGAAATTTTGTTGAGTTTTGCTGATCCGACACGGAATTCCTAAAATACCGTATCAAAGCGATATGATCACTTGTACTGTGAAACGTATGTTTTATATCCTTTCTGACCGACTTTGACATCAACGAAGTAGTATTCATTTCGGTTGTAGTGGAAAGCATTGTGATTAATGACAACATAGGACTCAAACATCTACAAAATAGAAGAACTCTATTAATTACAAATAATTTGTTTTCACTTCGGAAACTTGTATACACATACGTACTGAAAAATACAAGAAAGTATTAACGCTTTACTATATCTAACATCCATTGAGAAATACACTATTCGTATCCCTAAAGGAGTGAGATTTTCATTCTCGTCCAGAATATTAAGTTTCATCAAAGTTTCGATAGCATTAGATACTGATCTTTTTTTAGGTTGTTCAATCATTTTACTAAAGAAATCTCGTACATTTTCATTACCGAATCTTTTACTAGTAACAATTAATTCATTTAACGATATTCTGCGTATTTCGGGCTCTGGAAATGATGGTAGTTGATGATACATATCTTCTGTTATCAAGTGATAACTTTCACCAGGTGAAACGCGACCAGCTCTTCCTTTTCTAGACGTTAAGACGAAAACTTGTTTTACTCTTATTGTTTCCCTTCAACGACAAAACATAGTAAAATATTACAGTTTAATAATTACCTTTGATTAATATTTGCACGTGTTACCCAATGAGTGCATATATTATATATAGATGTACGTTCATCCCAAATTAAATTTCTCTTACGGACAGTATCAACAACATACTTAACATCTGGAATAGTAATACTGTTCTCAGCGATATCTGTGGCCAAAATGATTTTTTGAGAACCGGGGGGAAGAGTTTTAAAAACTTCCTGTTGTTCCAGATTCGTTAATTTTGAGTGAAATGGAATTATATGTACATTATAATTCTGTAGATATTGTAATGTCTTTCTAAGTATTTGAATTTCACTCCAACCTGGTAGAAAACACAAAATACCACCAAGTGGTTTATTTTCGATAATCCAACGTATTAATTCTGCTGTATCGTCAAGAGGAGTTTCACTTTCCTTCAACATTTTACTGAGATTATGCTGTTTAAAGATCTTAATATCCTCTAAAAAATGTGTTTTTACTGGATATATCTGTCCAGGTATCTCAATTACATCACAGGAAAAGTATTTTTGTAATATGTCTACGTTTATAGTTGCTGACATAATTATAAGTTTCAGAGATGGTTTATCATTCAATAATTGTTTCACTATGCCAAGCAGAACATCAATTTCTACTGTTCTTTCATGAGCTTCATCTATAATTATATGCGATAAATTTTCTAAAATTGCATTACGTTGTAATCTTCGTAAAGCTATACCAGTTGTACAAAACAAAATTGAACCACTCGATTGTGGAATTACAGACTCAAGTCGTATATGGTACCCTACCACATGGCCAAGACGTTCTCTCCTCTCAGAAGCAACACGTTTGGCTAAAGATACAGCTGAGACTCTTCGAGGTTGCGATATGAGTATGTTACATTTGTGCGATTCAAGTTTTTCTGTGTATAAATCCATTATATATTGTGGTATTTGAGTACTTTTACCACAGCCAGTATCACCTTTGATTATGACGACTTGATTATTCTCTATAGTGTTAAGTATATGTGATCTGAAAAGTTATTTTCAGCATATTAAGGTAAATCTTAGTACACTGTAATTCTTAATACATACTTATATTGCTGAATCGGAAGATTCTTCTCTGAATCTTTTCTGTCTTCAAGTTCCGAATATAATCTACGATTACGAAACTCGTGATCTTCACTTGAGTTCATAAATGGTGTTTGTTTTGCTTCCAAATCAATTCCATCAATGACCATACTAGACGATTCTGTTATAATAGGTTCTATTTCCTAAAAATATTTTTTCTATGGAAAAGGTTTATACAGAATTCTAGAATATACATTGTTACTAATCCTGAAACTTACATGATAATATGTCTCCAACATAAATTTGATTTCATTGTTAAACTTTGAATCAAGATCTATTTTAAAATGATTCAATAATAAAGATTGAATTTCTGTTCGCGTATAAAGTTCAGGTATTAAATTTTTAACATTTCCAGTTTGGTTCAGCCACATCAAACACTTTCTTCCAGCATGTAATCCAGCTGCTTTCTTCGACGACGCTGCTTCAGAGAATGACATTTTCTCAGGCCATGATACATTAATAGTACATATTTGTTTGCGGGGATGAGTTGTGGTATCCTCCGAATAAATGAAAGATATGTGTTGTTTTCCAAATTCACGGTTTACAGTAGAATAAATCTGATGAAGTTGGCTTATTGAATTTTCATGCAGGTTGGCATTAATGATTTTAGATTGCTCATATCGTTGACGTTTCTGTAAAAATTATCTTATACTAGTAACGGGTATAAAAATTTCTGATACTGTTCCAAACAATATACCACACGTACATCATTTTGGCTATGAAATCCCTTTTGTTCGTCATTAGAGCTGTGGGTTAGTCGCTGAAAATAAGTGTTTATCTCAAACAATTAAGGTAAAGTAAGGTAATTCTAAACAATTATTTAATAAATCTTACTGTATTAGCAGCTATTATATATAAATTCTTTTTTGTCTTCTTATTATCGGGATAACAAAATATTTTTGAATGTGACCGAATACTTTGTAAACATCTCCAATATAGCTGACTATAAAAAATAAATTCCATTTAATCAAGACGTAATATGACATTAATTATAATGAAACTAAGTTTGTATAATAATATATTCTAAACAAATGCATAATATTACTCACTGCCTATGCATTGGATTCTTTAGTGTATTCATTACTTGAGGCAGAAACATTGTTGTACATTGGATTTTAACTCTGTAACAGAATAGGTATCCAGCATGATTTAATTCCGGATGATTCTATAAATTTACCATTACATGACAACAGAAAACAGTGCACACGTTTGAAAGAATGAATAAACATTTTATAAAGAAACAAATTGTATCAAACAAACGATTAAAATTAGAATAAATCTGACATTGTAAAAAACTATATGTATACTAATATTAATGAATTTATGTTAAGGTTAACCTTATTTTATGTTTTCTTACCATTTAACCATATAAATTTGTGTTAATGTTCTCTTTTTATCTTCCCTGTGTAATATATAATTAACTCGTATAATATATAATAAATATATACATGCAAAATAACTGACAGAGAACGTGGCCCTTAAAATTCCTTGCTCTGTATAACCAAATCTATGTACAACTACAAGTTAGTTACAACGACTACCAGCTTAGGTATTTCACTGTAGATGGCACCACGAACATTTTCAATGATATCGACTGCCTAACTTACTAACAACTTTCTTTTAAATTCAAATAACGATAACACATATTTACAGAAACATTTAGAAGATAAATTTACAAATTCAGATAGTACAAGAACTGATAATAAATAACTGATTGCATCGATGCTCAAATACAAATGATTGATTAAAACTTATTGTAATAATGTCCAAACAATTGTTTCTAAAGCTTAAAATGTAGTGTATATTTATTTACGTCCTTGAAATTAATATTATAATTAGACGAGAAACTAATTTTCCGCTACAATACAACTTAACAAATACGTATTAGAAACTTTTTAAGTTCATAGCATTCTATGCTCATACGTAGAAAACGTCGACTATTTGAAAGCGGAAAACAAAAGTAAAACCAAAACAACAGAATTACGAAAAAATGGAAATACGCTACATTGTGAGCGAATTCACTATCGTCAAAGTAATCACATCTAATTAATGTACCATTGAATTTTAGCACTCGTTGAAACTACTTATAACGTAGTATCGATAAATAGTAATGCACTCTAAGTTGTGTAAACGCACACACTATAAAATAGTTACTCTTTTATAATATACACATACTCTTTTACATGTCTAAACAATACGTAAAAATATTAGATATTTACGGTGTATCGCTTAACCGCTATCTATCGTCCGATATCCAAATATCGGTAATTATTCGATAAACCCAGGATGCCAAGTATAATATCTGCCTTTACACTAAATCATTTACGATTATTGTACAATCTTTCCGTCTTATCGATGAAGATTTGTATAACTATCATAATGAGAGCCATTAAGCAGATCATACCCGCTCGTTCGAAGAATTTATTAGGAGAAACAGTGTTGGTATGTAACAACAACGATAAATGCACAACGAATAGAAAAAGTATAATGACATTACAGAATTAGTGTTGGAATTATACCTTCGATCGCTTACCATATGAACCGTTATGTTTATATGATAACACAGTCTAAATTAATTTTCTAAACAATTTAAATAACGTCTATAAACTGTAAAATTAACGTTTGTGTACAAAAGTGCAAACACCGTGGAGTAATCATTTGAAAAATACAAATTTGTGGCCTCTGCAACGTTTAAATATTCAACTTTAGAGTCTTGAAATGCAAATGATAAATATAAGTTACGTCGTTTTCACCTTGTAAACAGAAAACCCAACTTTTGTTGATTGCCGGTGTGTTTTAACCAGATTACTGGCGCTGGACATGGAATTGGCCGCGAATTGGCCATTCAGTTAGGTTCTTTGGGTTGCATAATCGTTTGTTGGGACATAAACGTCGAGACGAATCGTTCAACGATGAAAGCGGTGTCCGAGAACGGAGGAGAAGTGAGATAAAAGGAATGTTGAACGTTAGAAAACAATATATTACTTTCATTCTGATTTTGGGCAAGCTAGGTGTACGGGTTTGCTGTGGATGTATCAAACAGGCTACAGGTTCAAGAAACCGTGAAATTGATGAGGAAACTAGAGATACCGGAAGTCACCATTTTAATTAATAACGCTGCGGTGTTGTATCATAGACCGTTTCTGCATCAGGATCAAGATCTCATCGAAAAAACGTTCAACGTTAACGTTCTTTCTCACTTCTGGGTATAAATTCGTCAAGTATCGACAGACGATCATTTCTATTCTCCGATTTCTTCAATCTTACTTGTAGCAAATCAAATTTGTCGGGAAGGCGGGCTAGTTTTTATTATTATTATGCAACCACGAAGTTCATGATCGAACAAATTTGAGCCCGATTAACAATTTAATAATTAGATTTAAGATTCCTACATACTTACGTAGTGCTTTATTTTATTAGACGATCAAAGCTTTACTTCCGAGCATGATAGAAAATCAAAAAGGGCACATAGTGTGCTTGTGTAGTATGTGCGGTATGTACGGCGTATCCGAGAAAGTGGCGTATTGCTCTTCGAAATTTGCCTTAAGAGGTATCATAACATTTGCGAAGTCGTTGTTCTCTTACTAGATTGTGAAATAACAACGATTAAACTATCGATTTGCTTAACAGGATTAATGGAAGCGCTTCATGAAGAATTGCGGCTGAATCCGAGAACAGCCAACATACGATTTACAACCGTTTATCCGTTTTACGTGAACACCGGATTAGCTAGAGATCCGAAATACAGGTGAAAAGCAAACTGTAGATTAGAAGTCTGTGGATGATTGATTTAATGCTACTTTAAGAATCCTTTCGAGAACCGGTCATCGCGGGTGTCTATCGCCGTAGGTTGCCTTACATATTCGGCGTGGTGTCTGCGGAGTACGCAGCGCAAGAAGTGATTAAAGCGGTAAGAAGAAATTACACCGAATACACGATACCACGGTGCCTTCTCGCGCTGAACTCTGTCAATAGGTTAGAACATTAATTCAATTTTAACACGTTGACTGTCACGAGAATTTCTCGCGTTTTGAATAGTAATACTTATCCTTGAATAATAATAATAATAATAATAATAATAATAATAATGATAATAATAATAAATAATATTATTTGTAATAATTTAGTATTACAGTAGTTATATTACGCCATGATCTAGCTACTTGCGTTACTAAATATTTTTATTTAAAATTAAGTGTTTATTGTAATTGTTCTTCAGCAATTTGGTAGCTCCGGTCGTCATCGGTGATCACCGTGGTAGTCAACGCGTTAACATACACGTCGAAAGACCTAAAAAGCGACTGCGCGATAATATTCTTTCCCTTGATTCTCAGAGCACTGCCGGACACGGCGATGAGGCTTATCCTCGACTTCCTGTCGAACGCCGAACGGAAACGAAGAGAAAACTTGGTGACTGACAGGAATACAGCGTCGAAATGACGTTATTAGTCGCAAGAGGTAATCGCAAGTTACTCACCGAGTGTCGCAATCGCGAATAGATGCGGTAATTGGAAAAACAAACGTGTCTCCGGTTCCAAAACGAAACCGAGTCCGATCAGTTCTCCGGTTGACTGCGTGCAACGAATCGCCGAGATTTTTTCGAATTGTAGGAATCATCCTGTCTCCGAAATATTGGACTTTGTTTTCAAGGACTCCAAATTAAAATGCGCTTCCAACGATAGAAAAAAATAAAGAAAGATGTGACCTTTAAGGTCTCGTCTGGCGAACACGAACGTAATTCCTCGTGCTACCCCAGACCTTGACCATGGATATTGAACCGGACCGGTTTAAAGGCTGTTGCACGGAAACGGCGCAGTGCATCCTTTCCTTTCAACGCAGCTCGCGGAATCCATGGTCCACCCGTCGCAATTGCTGCAGGAGAACCTGCCTAAATCTTTTGGCTTCTGCCTGGTCCGGGGAGGGATCACGCGTGTGTTGTCCGTAGTCAGTTAGAAACGGTGAATCGAATAGCAAACAAAGCAACGAATCTGGAGGAGAGGAAGAAGGAATGAGGATGAAGGAGGCGACGACCTTGCTGTGCTTTGCTTATCCCAACATGTTCGAACGGAACGATATTCAGTCAGGTTGAAGCTATTCGAGCGCACTGTCGGCCGGTGGAGTGGCGGGAATTTTCTCGTGCACCCGATCTTCCTCTTTTACATCTTCACCGGTTACAATAGAAATCGCAGTGCAACGCGAACGTTTCGAACTTTTTCGTTTCCCGGCGTCCCATTCGATTCGATTCCTCGTACTCAATTAGCGTGGAAGAAGGGAAACACGAATTGAACGTAATCCAACGAGGATCGTAGTTAAACCGAAGCGATGAGCCCATTGTTTCGCGTTTAAACATTTTGTTTTCGGTGGTAATTTGGGTTCACCGTTAACCATAACAGTCGCAACTATAACAGTTCGCCGAAAATCAGTGATTCATCGCGTGGACAGTTACTGGCGATTTGTACTTATATTCTCCTTCCCGCGACAGAACACCATAAGCTGAAGGTAAGTGCCCGTTAATAACGCAATAACGTTGTTAATGATACGTTTCATCCGGAAATTCGATGAAACACATGTGAAATGCGAGCAAAACGAGGAAGGAATAATTTCTTACTTATGCTGTCATCTGATCGTACGCAACTTAACTGCATTTAATTCTTCCTTAATTAACTATGATATTATATTCGCGTATCTAAATGTCCTGGCAGATTTATTCTATTGCGTATCGCTTGCATGTATTGACGTCAATGCATACAAACGCGTTTTTTGTTGCTTACTTGCGTAAAGAAGAATCGTAGGATATTTTCGAACGGATTTAGTCGAATGTTCGTATGTTTGCAGTCTCATTCGTCATATAACGGGACGAAAATATTTCGATATGCTACTCGAAACTTAGCTGGTTGTGAACGTACAAGAACCAATATAAATAGTTCTAAATTAAATTATTGCATTAACCCTAATCGGACCACGATGTGACTTTGAGTCACATTTGAACTTTTTACTTAAATTTTTTTATTATTTCATATTGAATTTCCAAAAATTTTTTTGGGCTTTTAAAATTTGGGCCCTGTGAACAAAAATAAGTAACATTTTAATCATTCCTTTTATTCTCATAAATGACTGAGAGTCACATTGTGGTATGATTTTTTTATAAAAACACATAGTACGATTAGGGTTAAAGGTATTGTCGCCGGTAAATAGCGGGACGCAGAAATATATATGAATGCTTTGTCGTTTAGCTAAATGAAATTTAAAATTAAATGATGTCAACCTGTGATAAAAATTATACTTTGATTGAACAAGTAACTTCGAAACCTCGGGAAGACCTTGCGTAACTCTTAGAGCAATGACCACCGTCGTAGACATAAATAACGTCTATATCTTTTGTCGGAATACAATTATGCTAGTTCATATATTGATATTAAATTTTTAGATATGTCACGACTATATATCTTGTTAGCCAACAGGTCTATCTATCCGAAGGCCTTAATTATCCATTCATTTTTCTAGCTATCGATGTTTCTGCCTATCGAATTGATATTCGCATTAACGACTAGATTTTTCTCTTTCCACTTCGCATTTTTTTATATTTTCATCCAAGGATGAAGATCGATTAGTAGATCGAGTAAAATATTCATCAATATTCACGTCTATAAAAATAGAGTACCATCGCCTTAACAATTATCGTCAATCGAGCATTGCGAACACATACCCAGCCAAGGCAAGAGAGCCGTACACGTTTACCTTGAGGATGTTTAATGAAAGAGTAGCAAGTTCACGAGTAACTTCCCCGTATCTACACAGTTATATGACTTACATGTGTGTACTGCCAACTCCATTTCTCAGTCGTTGACACCAAGGGCGCAAAGCTGTTCGCTACATCGGAGGCTGTTGCACCGAATGTCGAATGCAAATTTAGCTCGTTATCGTTACTTTAATCAAAGTAATATCCGTTTTCATAGAGCATAAACTGCACAAAATTAACAGAAGTTACCTCAATTGTGAGCGAGTTCTACGTTAATGAATCTTTGCTGTTCATTTTGTAAAAATACTGAAATACAATGAACCTCGTGAAAATACATACCTGTCTCAGAAGTATAGAAGAGAGCTTAGTCGACCCAACTCGATTAGGAAACGATTCTTGGCTATCGGAATGCTATATGATTCGCTAAATATATTCCTCTAGCGTGATATTTCTTCCTGATTTCGAAAGACTGTTTGAATCACCTACTGAGCATCAAAATCCTGTAAAGTATAATCGTTACTCATAGCTCGTATCTTCTCAGCGCGCAATTAATTCGGGGAAACATGTTTCTGAAACGATAAGCATATTCGTTTGTTTCATTCGGTACGTATATAGCTCTAGAGGGCAACCGCGCTTCGTTTAAATAAGAAATTAGAATTGCACGAAACAAATGCATTTAATCGAATGGGAAACGTACAACGCGAATTGTATTGTCATTATTTCGGTGGACGTTAATTCCTCGATTTTATATCTTACTTAATATCGTGCTTCTAATACGAAAAGTTTTACAAATAATTGTACAATACACGATGAAGCATGCATATTTCTGTTGAATTATCTTATGTAAAGTTTTTTACCATTTAATGTAATGACTCGTAACAATGCATCAGTACAACAGTTTTTGTGTCACATTAAACGACACATACATGAGAAGTATACATATTTCTGTTGAATTATGTTATATAAAGTTGTTTGCCATTTAATGTGGCGACTTATGAAATGCATTAGTATAACAGTTTTTCCGTCACCTTTAACTGCCTGGTAATAACTCCTTAAAGCAATTAAATGAGTTATTCGAACGTGATCGAATCGCCACAAATAAGTTCCCATTTTAATTACCAGTAGAAGGTTACAACGACTTTGTAACTTTAATACATCTTTCTATGGTTTCAACTTCCCATTATTATCCAGCATTATTATTTTTCTGGAAATATTAGCGATACACGCTGATAAAAACTTTATTTTCAGTGAAAGAATGTTCGTCACGATAGACGAAGCTTCGGTGACAAACTCGAGACTCGGTAGCCCTTCGTCGGTTGTCTGGCTGTTCCTCATCGTTGAATTTCTGATTGGCGCGCTTCTGTCAGGTTTTCTAGGCATTCTCGAGATCGTGAAATCGTTGCTACCCAAACCGCCCAGGGATATGACCGGTGATGTAGTCCTGGTAAACGTTTATAACGATAACGACGTCTGGCTCAAGTTTAGCTAACGGGTTATACGACTGATCTGCAGAACACGTTTCTTTCTCTTGTTTAGGTAGCCGGCGCTGCGTCGGCTCTGGGTGAATCTCTCGCCGAAGAATTTGCTAAATGTGGATGTTCCGTCATCTGCGTGGACCACGATTCGGAGTCGATCGAAAGAATAGCCGCCGGCTTGAAAGGACGTTACCCTATGGTCGAAGAAGTTAAGCCGAACCATGACAAAGACGATTCGCAGAGGCTGAAAACGAGAAAACTCGCTTACGAGTGCGACTTATCGGACAGAGAACAGATACGGAGTACAGCGCAGAAGATCAAGGACGAGGTTGGACGAGTCGACGTTCTGGTGACTTGCGTGGGCAACCTGGATCAAGACATCTTCGATACAGCCAGCAGAACTTTGATGAGTCATTTCTGGGTAACGTTCGCCCTTCATTTTGACCATAGAGGACGAATTTAAAGATATGAATCGCGCATCGATTGATCTCTGGTATCCCGACATCCCCGGTTCTCGTTTCTGATTCACTTTTTCTTCCCGCAGACGGTTTTAGCGTTCCTGCCGCTGATTTTGTATCGCGAACGAGCACACATTGTCGGTGTTACACCAATTGTGTCGAGTCGCGACGCGTACCACGGTTCAAGGGCGGCGATAGCCAGTCAGTATAAGATCATAATGGTTCCTTCTGCGACTGAACTCACGGGATAACAATATTATTTTCATGTGAACCATTTTATGCAGGCCTCATGGGGAGTCTGTGCCAAGAGTTGAGCAACCACAGCAGCCAGTTGACGTTCTTGGCATTCGCGCCAATCGCAAACTGCAGGTAACGTCCAATTTCGAAAATGATCTCGTGGCCATCGTTATACGTATTAAATACAACGTGCCCGTATTTTGTCATCGCCTCCTATTTGCATTTTCCTGTTGTTTCTCTCGTAAATCACGACCGTCGACCTAACAGATTTTCCATCGATCTTTCAGCTCGCCAGAAAAAAGCGTGAAAGAAGTAGCCACGAACATCATGCACGCGGTTAGAACGGATCAACAGAGTTTAAACGTGGGTTGGATGTCTGGATTCTTGTATCGATTAAGGTATACCCCTCGAAAATTCGCATAAATTAAACTAGCAGTACGAAAGTCTTTAACACGAGTTACGTTACAATACATGATTCCCATTTAATCGTTTCAGTTGCACAATGTATTATTATATAACGGCCTTCACGGAGTGGGTTCATTCTCAAGGATGCGATTATCCTGCGTAAGCTTCATCCAAAAGCATGCAAATGATGAAGATAAAAGTTGTCGTATAGAGAGCTCTCTCTGTTTCTCTAAACTTGCTCAGTTGATCGAAGACTACAAATTGGAAATGATAATAAAGGAAAACTGTCGGTATGCAGTCTAAAATTGGTCGGTACACGTGAAAAGAACACATCTACAGAAAAACAGCACAATTTATTAATGAAACAACCGAGGTTGCGAAAAAACAGTCGGATAGAGATCTTATTGAACGATCTCGGCTCGTTGGGGTCGGCTGTGCGTACTTATTGTTAGTTCAATCAGGAATTAGAACGTCGTAATGGCCACTGTCCGAGTTTCCCGTGAACAGGAGCCTCGCGGTTTCGTACTGAGAGCTCACGTGGTTGTGAAACACTCGCTTGAGTTCATACCGATTTCTGATCTCCCGATAGATCGACAGATTCATGTAATACATTTTCGTGGCTACTGTGCACTCCAACTCGCAGGCGAATGTGCCAACCATGCCCATGTAATCGCAGTACCTTTGACGATCCGATATGTTCCATTCCGCCATCACGAACGGTCCGTACTCATACCAGTTGTCCTTGATGTGTTGGACGACCTGTACGATAAACCGGCGAATGAATCCTACGACAGGATAGTTATACATAAATATTTGATATCTTGGTATCGATGATATTAACTCATCAATCAAGAAATGCGAGTTCATTCGTCATTTTATTTGCCTTCGACTTCCCATGATTTTTCAATTGCTTGCCTTGCCTTCAATTATACTTCCACGGGCAATTACAATTGAAAAATCACACCGTTAACGGTTTAAACTCGGTTAGCTTTAAGATACTCGACAAAGAAAGCTCGAACTCTGTCAATGAATGTACACTAGCGAATCGCATTGATTATACAGGGAGAAGTGAAGCCCACCATTGCACGAAGGTATCGATGTTCATCTTCGTTTCGCCATAAAATATAACTGATCGCTCGAAACATGCAATTCCCATCACCGTATATATTGTGCACGCGAAACGTGCCCTCAGCGCACCTTAATCGAGCCGTACCTAGAACATTATGAAGATATTAATAAGAACACGGCAAGCTTTCGCGTATGTTAACCCTTTGCACTTGATAATATTTGATATTATAAATAATTCTTGAGAAGATATTTTATTTCTTGATAAAATATCGATAACATTATTTACAACTAACGTAAAGAAAAATCGTGTATAAATTAAAAAACAGAACTATTTTATTTTGATGCTTCCTTGCACAAAATTGAATATTGAATTTGAAATTTTACAATTTTACTGTGTTCAATCAGATGGCGACTGGCAGTCGCCTCTCGAGAGCAAAGGGTTAAAAGACCTTCTTTAAAGGAGGCAGATCGTTTGAATTTAGCTTTACTAGAGCGAGCAATTCTAGAGTTGCGCGAGATTAATTTTATGTGCGAACTCCAGTTTATGCGCCGGAAATACACGGAGTTTGTTTCCCGAATTCTTGTGAAGCTTTCAACGTTACCGAAGTCTCCGCGGTCCCAGTATTCTTCTTCTCTGAATTGGTTGCACCTTTTTGCATTCTTGACCGACGGTAGACGAGGCGCAACCTTCTCTATTGGAAATGTTCTTTGAATTTATTGTCGTTTAAACTGTAAACTGGATCATTTTTTAAGTCTCTATGCTCGTGTTGGCATTATTAAACATTTGCACTCGAGAGGTGACTCTCAGTCATCACTTGGTTTCATACAGTAAAATTATAAAATTTAATATTTAATATTGGACCATGTATAATGCTTAAAAAAAGCATAATGCTCCTTAAAAAAGTATCATCTTTGTCTAGTTAATTTTAAGTATTTCTAATGAAATACTTCCGAGTACAAAGGGTTAACACTAGAACTACGAAAAATGACCGGTTTCGATTTTCTTGTTTTTTAATTATTAATATCTCAAAAGCATTGAATACTTAAAATGATCTTGAAAATAAATAGTTCCACCTGAGTACTATAATGAATGTCTGAAGAAACCGAAGATAATCTATTGTTACAATTTTTATATGTATTAACATAGTTAATATTACATATTAACACGTTGAATACCATGGTAATCACCGGTGAATTCGCGGGATCATTAGGTGAATTCCATGAATAATGACCGGGGGTCATTAGGTAAATAACGCTACCTAATGCAGTGACATTTAGCAAAACAACCCTGCGATAACAACAGCGCAATTCAATTAAATAATTTAATATTGTATTTTTGTTATAAAAATATGTGTTAATTGTGTTAAATGCTTTGTGGTTCTAAACATTATTTCAAAAATGCGAAGAAATGGAAGTCACAGTGGAGCATAGGCAACGAGTTAACTCGATTTCCAGTTTACAGATTGAACCCTTAGTCATGAGGTTTGTTACAAACACGCAATCATCCTTCTCGTTACATTGCGAACGTAATGGCATGTACAACATAGCATTTATACCTCAAAGAAATTTAAGAACTACTTTATGTATTGTGATATGACGAATTAAAGTGTGATTAAATTAGAACGATCGTCTACGACTAAAAGAGGAAAAGTTCAATTTTCTTTACCGTCCTCGAAAATGTAGCTGCAGAAGTAAAAGTACAACAAGCAAGGTAACAATAATGTTTTCAAAAATGTTAATATCTGGACTTCAGCAATTTCCAGTTTAGGTTTCCTTTAAGATCGCGAAAAGATTTCTGCTTCACCGATTGCCGCATCTTTCGATAATATTTAAACGCGATCCAGAACGGGCACAACAGGATACTCCAAGTATTTTCTAATTAAACTATGCGTTCATTCACGTTAGCAAAATTTCATACACAGACATTTGCATTTTGGATGCTTCTGATGTTTTTCTCGTGTTGCCAGACGTTGAAAGTGCATGTATTCATTACACAGAAGTGTCATGATAAGTTTACGAAGACGGGCTTACGCAATTCGGAATCGTTGGGGTCAGTTTTTATTTAATTATTATGTATAAAACAAATTAGCGTATCATAAAATGATCAAACCTACAAGAGAACCGATCTTTGTATGCGACGAATAACCTCATCCCTTCATACGTCTCTCTCTCTCTCTCTCTTTCTCTCTCTCTC